AAAAGGTCACTTTTGAGTGTTTTAGATAGCTATTTTATCAAGTGTTTCAAAGACACTGCCCTTTTCCTTCACTGCAGACAGTAGACATAAACACAAGTTTTATCCCTATGTTAAAACTATATGCATAGAAATATTGAACACATGTTATGTCTAGTTAGTGAAATCAATAAAGATAATCTATTCCAGTGAGGATATGATATCTTCAGAATACATTAAAACAATATTCAAACTTTAAATAGTGTTTCCTTCAAGTTCAACTGTTTCGACCTGAATGACTAAGTTTCTTGTTTAGAATCTCAATTTATTGGAACTCAAATGCTTCTACTGAACAGAAACCAAAGCTTTTGTAAATACTAGATAACATTTGCCAACAGGAAAAACTTAAGACCTTATTATAGTAAATCACAGATACTGGTACTAATGTTCTCGGAAATATGATGTCAGCAAGTATAGTTTTAACCACTGAATCACCAAGAAGTTCCTGTTTGATTTCATATAGCACAGAATTGCTTCATTCCTATGTTGTGCTCTATCAATGTCAATGAACAAAATTCTTCTATCTTGTCAATCTGCAGTTCTACATACACAAAACCCCATACAGATAATGAAGAGATACCAACACAATTATCCAGTGAAAAGGGCCCTTCTCTTTAAAACAGACTATTTTTTTCAACAGTTCCTGTAACTCAAAACATTCAAGAACTTTTTGTTTTTCTCAAATACAGAAAACCGATCTTTTTCAGAAAGTGTATTCCCGATAAAGCTTGGGACTCCTTTGTTTAGGAAATTATTACTGAACAAAAGAAAAAAAAAACTGATTCAGGAACTCCTTAGTGTTCTGACCAATGACTAACACTGCAGCCAGGTGATTATGGGAAACCTGCTATATTGATTTGACTATTGCTTGATCCATATCTTTGCTAAGTTTTTTGGGCGGGGCGTGGGGAAACTTAGTCTAGTTTTTAAATAATCAAATATAGAAAGAATTATGTTTTCAGAAGTTTACCTCAAATAGAATAGATCCAATCCTTTATCTCATTGGGACAACCTCAGATTGGTATCACCTACAATCCTCATTTAGAAACTAAATAATATAACAGAAAATATCCACAGTATTTTTTTTAAATTACATAATGAGAATCCAAGACAGAAAAGCATGCGACAGAAAAATGGTAAGATCACAAAATAAAATAAAAAAAAAAAAAAATTGCAAGTAACTTCGAATTCTAGAGATTGTATCAAGAATACTAAAACTGAGGTTCTCCTTGCCTTCAAAATGGGAAGTAAGTGGGTCTGGGGAACTACAGATCAGTCAGTCTGATACTGATAGCAGTATCAGTCAGTCTGATACTAAAATCTTTTAGAGCATTTTATAATGGGATCAACCCATAAGCAACTAGACAGCAATGCATTAATTACTAGAAGTCACCATGGATGAATATGTGAGACTAATTTTATTTCACTTTTTGATTAGCTTAGTAGATTGTGGAAATGCTGTAGATAGAATACCTCTTGATTCCAACAAAGAATTCAATGGAAGTACAGGTAGTCCTCAACTTACGACCACAATTGAGCCCAACATTTCTGTTGTTGAGACATTTGTTAAGTGTATTGTGTCCCATTTTACGACCTTTCTTGCCTTAGTTGTTAAGTGAATCACTGCAGTTGATAAGTTAGTAAGCTGGCTGTTAAGTGAAACTGGCTTCCCCATTGATTTTGCTTGTCAGAAGGTCGTAAAAGGGGATCACATCATCTTGGGACAGAGCAATGGTCATAAATATGAACCAGTTGCTAAGCATTTGAATTTTGACATGATCATGGCAATGTTGCAATCGTAACTGTGAAAAAATGGTAATAAATCACTTTTTTCAGTGCTGTTGTAATTTCAAACAGTCACTAAACGAACTGTTGTAAGTCAAGGACTACCTGTATTCCAAAGCAATCTAAAAAGCAAGCCTGTCATGTGTGGGCTGCATAGCATGGCAACAAAATATATTGCTAACTCAAAAATCATCTCCCAAGAGTGTTCATCAATAGTTTCTTCTTCAAAGTGGAGAGAGATATTAAGTGGTAAGAGGTAAATCCTGAATCCTGTATCGTTCAACATTTTTTGGGTAAATATTCCTTAAATTTGCAGATAAAAATGCAAAAATTTAAGAACAGAATTCAAAATTATCTTAATGTGTTAAGGGAAATGGACTGACAACACAGAAATGGACTGAAACAGACAAGTAACTGTCAGAAAAAAGTAAGAGCAGTTCATAAGTGGAACCAATTACCTGGAGACTTGGTCTCCTGCTGAATACGTTTAAATAGAGACTGAACAATTATCTGTTGGGGATTGCACAGAACAAGAAGTTGGACTCAGGAGGCCAAATAACTCCTTCTGTCCTTTGATTCTATGTAAACATTTGTATCTACCTCTTCTAATACCTCCATACCACTAACAGTGGCCAACTGTTTAAAATAAAATAGAACGGTAATTCCAAAAGAAATTGAAAATACATCAAAATGAGAGTGATAAAGCCCAAGTAAAACATTGGAAAAGTCTTGCACTTTCCAAGCTTGTTCAATTCTTTAAAATTAGTTACTTTAACTCTATTCAAACATCATTACACTCATAAATACAAAACGCTTAGAATAGAATCAATCATACTTATCACAACACAGTTCTGCTTGTTCGCTTTAAAGAAGATGCTAAGAAGCAAAGGGGGCAGAGAATGTATACCCCCTTCTTATTACAACACTCTAAAGGCAAGTTCTGGTAGTGTTAGTTGTATACAAAAGATGCAGATACAATAAAAAATGGTAAAATCACTCAAATATCTGGGGGAATAATTTTGGATGTATTTCAAAAATTAATTTAAAATTATCATATTTCATTATATGATCACAGAATGCAGCAACCTCTTTGTTGAGTCTGATCAGCTTCAGGAAGCAATACAGCTTTGAAGTCTTATGTTCATTCACACTAATTTTGAGTTCCAGAGAGATAAAATGAAACAAAACTTTTAAGGAAAAAATATTCAAGCCTTTAGCAGCACATACTTAATTTCAATAATTCATGTAACACATCATATATTTATGCTATTTAAATTTGTAATACCAGACCAATGTCTGTTCAATGTGCAAGGCTTCACTGAAATATTAATGAAAATGTAGCAGATTATAAATAGTGTCTCTTTGCCATATATTAAGATAAATTATAGCATGGTTGTCCAACCTTTTGGCTTGCTTGGGCTGCATTGAGTGAAGAGAAGTTGTCTTGGGCTACATATAAATATATATAATACAGTTAATGTATATACTGTACATAACAAACTTCCTTTATTTTATTTTTTTTATTATTTAGTGGGGCCGCATTACAAGCTATCCAGGGCCACATGCGGCCTGTGAATTGCAGGTTGGACACACATGAATTACAGTAAAGGAAATCTTACTTACAAGGGCTAACATCTCTGTATCTGTTCCGATTTCGGTTTTCTGCAGACTTTGCCACTTTATGAGGATAATCACTGGATTGATGTCGGATATCCTGGAAAAAATAGCAATAGTTAACAAATCTTGTCCAAAAATATAAGATTTTGTGAAAATAAAAAGGTATTAAACAAATCAGTCATTCTTTAAAAGACACTATATAGAATGAGGTGGCTGGATGGAGTCACTGAAGCAGTAGGCGTGAGCTTAAATGGACTCCAGAAGATGGTAGAGGACAGGAAGGCCTGGAGGAACGTTGTCCATGGGGTCGCGATGGGTCGGACACGACTTCGCAACTAACAACAACATTTGATGAAGTTATTTAATCTTTCATTTTTC